AAAATAAGCAATCCAATGTCATTCACAAGTAAATCAGTCAGTTTTCAATCCAGGGATAATCCAATAACCAAGTCCAGTGTCAAAAACAGTTCAGTATCAGACTTACATTAAATCCAGTAATATCAGTCAATTAGAAGAAATGGAGGAACAGCAATACTTTCCAATAGAAGGAAACAGAGATACACTCACACTCTCTTCTGAGACTAAGGCTAAGACAAACCTGGCTCCATCTTATGGCCATTTGAGAAACCACACCCAACTACAGCTTTGCATTTTCTTAAAGATACAGTTTTTAAATGTTTATTCTGGTTTATATATTTCTAACCCAAATACCTGTTAGGTGACATATTCCTAACATTGCTGCCTCCTGCCTCCACACATTGAGAAGTCTGAGCAGCAGCGGGAAGAGCACAGACCTCCTGAGCCACAGGAAGCGGCTGACAGCAATGCCCTCAGGTGAAGATGTTGCGAGGGGGAGGCTCGACCCCTCCCCTCAGGAGCCACAAATCACTTGCCACCCCCCTGGCAGCCACCAAACCTCCTCCCATTGTGTATCTCTTCCTCCTCAGCAGAAGCGCTCACAGCGGAAAGGGGGAAGCTTGGCGGGTGGCAGAAGGGTGGTGAGCGCTTTGCGCTCTTCACTTGAGGACATAGCTCGGCCTCCTTGATGTGCAGAGACAGGAGGCAACACCAGTTCAGAGGTTCCTTTCCCCCCATCCCCACCCCCAAGGACAGAGAGAGAGGGAGGAAAAGAGAGAGAGAGTTGAGTGATGAGAGATCCCAGTCTTTTGTTTTCTGTGGGAAACGGGTCCAAATGACTCTTTGAGTATTTAAGGTTGCAGAAACGGGCAGCCAAGCTGAGTCCCATCAGTGGGAGTCCAGGTGCTTCAGCGAGCGGCATGCTGGATTCATGTTAGTGGTCTGCAGGATTTAAAATTATGAATTTGGTGGTCGCTGAGGTCCAAACAGTTGGAGACCCCTGCTCTAAGCAGTTTACAGAATTAGCCTACGACCCCCAACCATCTGGGTTCTCATTTTACCAACCTTGGAAGGATGGAAGACTGAGTCAACCTTGAGCTGGTAAGAATCAAACTGCCAAACTGCTGGCAGGCAGCAGAAGTAGCCTGTAGTACTGCATTCTAACCACTTGATGAGCTCATCACAGCTCATCAAGAAAGAAAAAACAGTCAAGATGGTAGTCATGGTAGTACCTGAGGAAGGCAGGGTAGAAGAGAAAGAACTGGAGAATTACGCAACACACAAAGACCTGCAAACCACAGCACCACCACAGATCATCCATGGTATCCAGCCCATCTGAAGGTGACCAAATATGCAACGTCTTATTGTAGAATATCTCGTACCCTGTGTTCTGACCCAGGCTTCATCAAACGTAATTAATCATAAGCTTCTTTTAAAAGCAAACCTATTTTATTGCAACACTGGGAATTGCCTTCATTCCCAGCCAGAACTAATCTTAAACAGTTCCCCAAGATAAGCACACACCTTTCAGTACTGTGGAATGAAGTATCTCATTAACTTTTTTTGTTTTATTTTTTGCTTTCCCAAATTTTGTTCTATTGTACTTTACTAATTTATTTGATTCTTTTTGTTACTTTTTATTGTTTTTTATTTCTATTTTTTGTTTTAAATATGGTTTTACATTGTGTAAGTTGCCTCGAGTAGCCATGGGTGAATAGGTGGCAATATAAATTAAATAAATAAATAATTATAAAAGACAACAACC